GAAAAATTCTTCAGGTGTCCCAGAAATAATGATAGCTGTAAAAAAAAATTGACTCGGCCGGGATATGAAAACCAGAAAGTTTGCTTCGCCTATTGTATATACCTATTTTAGTATGATATCAATATATATAGTAATTTTTTTCTTTATAAATGCTTTGTATCGCTATATATTTAGGTTTATATACGTAGCAACATTTAAAGAATTTGTAAAACATTACAGCATTAGGTAAAAAAATCGACCAATCATTTAAGAATTACACAGTGTTATATTAACTACCCGGGTGTCCATATAAATAGATGGGTTTTTTAGCCACACGTTTTTTAAATACAGGTCCAAGTGTGCATTGTTCTAAAATTTCAAATAATCCCAAAGAAAAAATAAAATGACGATTTGTAAATATTACCTGGAAGGGCGTTGCAAATTCGGTAACGCGTGCCAAAATGAACATCGTCAGCCATATGGAGGCAATCAACGCTATAGCAGTTCACAACGCTCAGACATATATGATCGAATCAGTTACGGTGAGAATAACAAAACTTTAAGAAATTTGTTAGAGTGTTCTGTTAATAGTAAAAACGATCTATACTTTTATTGCATATCAGATTTATAGTGTCATATACTTATTTATTGATTTTGTATAGTTTCGACTTCAACAAATAACAAACTTTATGAGTATGTATTAAAAAAAAAGATTTATAGAATGCAGGGTTGATTCGTTATACTCAACGGTCTTTATATTTAAAATGCAAAATAATTTTATAGTGAGAGGAGTGTAAGAGCAGATCTAACTAAAGACCGTCCTGTATATCGGTACTCGGTCTACGGACCATCAAAAGAAGAACCCAATCTAATAGATGGCACAGACTACTCACCAGAAGAGCTGCGACTTCAATATTATATAATTATGGGAACTGTTGGATGTGATATATCATACGTATGTATTTTGGAGATATTTTTTGTACCAATTATCTTCCATTATATTTTGCAAACTGCGTCAATAGTTCTTCGGAGACAAGTAATGAAGTTAAGAGGACCACAATACCGCAGGATATAGATAATCTCAATACATTTTTATAAACCATATAGCAAAATGGTGTTAAAGATTTGGAAAATCGAACGCAAACGCAAATAGATTCTTGTCTTAAAGACTTGCGTAATTCACTCAACAGATTCGAGTCATCAAAACAGCAACAATCCTCATTTGGTCAACCGCAACCACAGGGATTCGGAGTTCCTCAAAGCACATTTGGAGCTTATAATCCCAATCAACCTTCCGGGTTTGGGGCAACACCTACTTTTGGACAAAATACAGTTGGATTTCAAGAAAATCAACCAGGGTTTGGGGTAAATGCTATTGGTGGGACCGGTTCATTCGGTCAAAATGCAGGTAGTGGATTTGGTGTACCAACACAAACATTTGGAGGATTCGGACAACCCGCACAGCCAGATCCGCAACAGCAATTATATCAACAACAATTGTTGCAACAACAACAGCAGCAACAGGCGTTGTTTGCACAACAGTTACAGCAACAACAACAACAACAAACTCCACAATTTATGGAGCTGCAGCAGCAGCAGCAACAACAACAACCTCCATCATTCGAAACGAACATTTCGCAATCAACGGACTGGGAAATGTATCAAGTACCAGAAAGGCCACCACCACAAAGATAATTTTAAAGAATGTACCCGTATAAGAATCATCCGGGTAACCTGTACAAGATATATCAATCATAATTTACATTACAAACATCACCTGTTTTAAATAAATAAAAATATTTTTTTTAATTAATTTTATCTAGTCCATGAGTATAAAGCATGTGAGGATAAAGAATGGTTATTAATCCAAGTATGTATATAAAAGAAGCTATTCGAGTTCATGAATATTTAGTATTTAATTTCATTTTGTTCACGTTAATTTAGCATGTATTTAAAAATTTGCATAAATTAGTTGGTGAGCATACATTTAAATCTAAGCGTCGCATAAATAAAAATAAAAATGGCTAATATAGAAATGTTGCATTGTAATGGGGATAGCCGTACGAATAAAGTATGGTGCCAGACTTGTGATCCGGACATAACAATTCAAGAATGGAAGGCTTATAAATAGAGAATGGACTAGGAAAACCCCTACTTGAAAGCAAGTGTCAAACGTCCATTTTCCAAATAT